ACTCTCCTGTGCTGTTCAGTCCTTCCCTGAAAATCCTCTGGATGTGTGTGGTGCAGGACTGGAGTGAGTGGCTCAGGAGGAGCCTCCTTGTGCCAGCCTGGTTGGCTCTGAGGGAAATACAACATTACCCTTGGTAGGACAAACTAATTGGTTTTAGCTGCATCCATTCCTCAGCATTCCCTGTGTCACATCCCAGCCTCTCTCCCATATTTTATCCTGTCAGATACACCTGGGATTATTTCTCAGCGGTGCTCATGTCTGGAGGAATGTAGTGCATGGTCCTCCTGGACTGTCCTTAATCTGTGCACAAGATCCCACCCCCGCAAACTGCCTCTGCAAATATGTTGATAAGAAAAGCAATCTGGAGCGTGGCTCTTCTCCTTCAGGAATGTTGATGGATTTCAGGAGCTGCTCCTGCTGCAGCGAGAGCAGCTGTGAATCTACTGCCAAAGAGGAGTGATGGAATTGTCCTGGTCAGGGCCACTCCTGGCAGTTCAGGAGCAAAGGGAGGGCTCAGTCGGCTCTGCAGATGCTTCCAGGGAACCTGGCTCTCCATTTAATTCGTTTCTGATGGATATATCCCAGCTTGCGTGGATGGATATATCCCAGTCCGGATATACGGAGCTATCCCTCTTTGGACGTAGGAATATATGGATCTGTCCCAGTTTGGATACATGGATATATCCCAGTCTGGATATATGGATCTGTCCCAGTTTGGATACATGGATATATCCCAGTCTGGATATATGGATCTGTCCCAGTTTGGATATATGGATATATCCCAGTCTGGATATATGGCTCTGTCCTAGTTTGGATACATGGATATATCTCAGTTCGGATACATCCCAGTTTGGATACATGGATCTATTGATCTATCCCAGTTTGACTGTATGGATCTCTCCCAGTTTGCATATGTGGATCTATGGTTCTATCCCAGTCTGAGTGTATGGATCCATGGATCTCTCCCAGTTTGGCTTGGGGCTCTGTGAGGGACAGGCCCTGTCCCAGCCCAGCCCAGCCCTGTCCCGGGGCTGTCCCGTTCCAGCCCTGCTGCGGTGCCAGGAAGGGGCCTGGGGGACCCTGAGCTGTCCCTGGGCCAGCAGAGAGCCCTGGGGTTAATGAATTGGTAATTAATGAATTCATTGTCCTGACCCAGCAGGTCGGGGAGGGATCCCAGCCCTGGGGCAGCTCTGGATCCTCAGCACAGCAGGGACAGAGCTCCTGGAGCGGGGCCAGCTCAGGCTGGGAGGATGAGGAGGGCCTGGAGCATCTCGGTGCCCAGGTGTCACGATCAGCTCATACAAGCAGGAGGTCGTGATGGTTTGTTAGCTGATCTCAGAGTGCAAAAAACAACACAGAGGGGATTTCAGTATTGATCAAAACAAATACACCTTTTATTGAATGACCACAGCAAATGCAATAGAGGGATTAGAAAAGAGATAAGAGAGAGAGAGAGAGAGAGGGCGTAAGGGCGTATAGCTACCAAACGTAGAGACGAGATCCTCGTGCTCCCATCGGTGGGAAATTCACCTTGTGACATTGGGGAGAATCTCAAAGTCCTGGTTAACTCAGGGATCTATTATAGTCCTTTGCTGAGGGGGGAAATCACTGAGGGGGAACAGATACAATAGAGAATAAGTCTCTTGAAATTGCTGAGGGGGAACAGGTATTGAAGACGGGTACAGACAGTCCATGTTCTCAGCAGTGAGCGGGACCCTTTGTTTCAGGACTGGTTTTTATGGGAAACCAGTCTAGGTCCAGTGAACACACCTGCAGGCAACACTTGGCAGTGTTCTGCTTCAGTCAGGCCAGCACCCCTATACCAGAATTACGGGGGTCTCAGTCTCAGTCCTTGGGAGGGGGCTTCAACCTCCATCCGTCACGATGGTAGTGGAGCAGATGAAGGATTTTCCGTGGGGGGGCTACCAAAGTTACCCCTGAAAGTTCATTTGGCCGAGAGGTGGGGAAATTCCTGGGCCATTGTCATGAAGCAGGTGCGAGCATACAGGGTGAGTTGCCCCTTGGCAGGCCCTGCTGGAAGCGCTGTAGGCACAGCTGTGAGCAATCCCTTGGTGAGCATCCACCTCAGCCAGGCCAGAACTCCGATAAGGGTCTCCAGTGGTCCTGTTCTCTGTTCTTGTGATGGTCGTGAGGCAAATGAGGGAAACTTCAGACCATCTCTTACACCAGGAAAGGCTGAGGGAGCTGGGGCTGCTGAGCCTGGAGAGGAGCCCCAGCTGAGAGGGGCCCTCAGCCCTGGGTGTCCCTGTGTGCAGGGAGGGGCAGAGCAGGGCCCGGGCTCTGCTCCAGGCCCAGCAGTGGCACCAGAGCCACGGGCAGGGACGGAGCCCAGGAACTGCCCCTGCACAGGAGGCAGAACTTCTGCCCTGGGCACTGCCCAGCCCTGAACAGGCTGCCCAGGGAGGGGCTGGAGTCTCCCTCAGCGGGGATACTGCAGAGCCCTCTGGGCACAATGCTGTGCCCTGTGCTCTGGGATGGCCCTGCCTGAGCAGGGAGGTGGCACCAGGGACCTCTGGGCTCCCGTCCAGCCTGGCCCAGCCTGGCATTTCATTTCCCCTCATTCCTGTGCCTCTTGTATCCCATCATTAATGCCTTCCTGGAGCAGTGCTCCTTGCCCTGGAGGATCTGCAGGATTCCATCAGGGTTTTCCTGGCTGTGCATCTGTGCCACATCTGTGGAGAGCAGTGGGTGTTGAGACCCTGCGGACTGGAGCTCAGGGGCTCCAGGAGCTCCAAAGGAAGGCTCCTGAGTCACCCCAGTGCTGGGCAGGGCCCTCGGGGAGGGAGAGTTTCCCTTTCCAGCCCAGCCTAGGGCCAGCTGAAGGAGCTGTGGCACTCTGTGATTCCAGCTTAGGGAAGAACCAGGGCAGGGCTCTCAGCCATTTACCTTGTGTCAATGTATTTATCACCCTGAAGGGCTCCACAGGCAGTGAACAGTTCCCTAAAGCACCTGCCCATGTTAGGGTGGGATGCCAGGGATGTTTAGGGTTGGCTCACCTGTTAAATGGAGGCTGTGAAACTGCTTTGAGCCGAAAATCTTTTGTTCCCTGTGGAACAATCACAACATTGTTAAATCCAAGCTGTAAATTCCAGTAGGGCAGTTGAGGCTGTTCTTCCCCACTCTGGTTTTGTGATTTACTCCTCAGCAGGAGCCATTTCTCCCCATGACACCCTTGCCCCTCTGGTGTTGTGGTTCATTCACTGCACTAAAAATGGTGATTATTGATTGATCTGCTTTGGAATGGATCCTAGCTTGGTTGTTCTGGTAGGAACGGGGAACAGAATCATGGAGGGGTTTGGGTGGGAAGGGACCTCAAACCCATCCAGTGCCACCCCTGCCATGGACAGGGATACCTTCCACTGCCAGGGATCCAGGGGCAGCCACAACTCCTCTGGGAATTCCATCCCAGCCCTTCCCCACCGTCAGTAGGGAGAATTCCCTCCCCGTGTCCATCCAACCCTCTGGCAGTGGGAGGCCAATCCCCCTTGGGCCTTAAAGGCCTTGCTGGATCCTCTGGTTTGGGGTTTGCCCTTTAATTTGCTGAGTGTTCATGGATCAAACCCGGAGGGAGCAGAGTTTGGTGTCAGGTGTGACATTGTCACCTCCCCAGCTCTGGGGGGGAGCTCAGCTCTGCAGAGCCCTGATCCTCCTTGGGCTCAGGATTTTTCCTTTCAGGTGACACGATGTCTCCTCTGCCATTGCTCTCCTGGTGGCCTCACACACGTCCCCACCTTGGCACAAGAGAAGTGAGCCTTGGGCCCCTGGATTGATGCCAGGACTGGTTCCCAGTGCTGTGATTCTGCAGTGTCCCCTCCTGGCTGCAGCCCCGGCAGGGACGCACTGTAATTCCATGGGCAGGGATGGAGGAGCATCAGCCACGGCTGAGTGCAGAATTTCAGGGGTGTCAGCAGTTTTCCCAACCAAAAAAGCTTTTAGTTCTTGGGCACAAAGTCAAGTGCCATTTGAAATGCACAGCCATCAAGTTTGGGGGGGAAAAAGCCCACAATAACCAAGGAGCCGGTCTGTTTTCCCTCTTTTTTTGGATGAAATGCATAATAAGCTCTTAGCTGAGATAAATCCTAATTGAGGCTTCAGCAAGGGCTGGGGCTAAATGGGCAGAGCAGGTCTGGGAGACAAATGCAGCTCCAGCTTGTCAAAGTGAGCCATTCTTCACATGGAAAGAGGATTTGTGTCATTAAACCTCTTCATCTCCCCCGTTCCCAACCACAGCCCTCCTACCCTATCCAAAGTCACCCAAATCCATCCCAATCCCTTGGCACGTGCCTCTGGTGCTGCTCCTGGGCCATTGTCCCAGGCTGGGCTGCCCTGGAGCCACAGTCCCATGCTGGGATTGAGGTGACCTTGGCAAGGTCCCTTCTCAGGGGTACCTGGGCATGGCCCCAAATCCACACCTGTCCTGCAGAGCTCTCCCAGCTCCCCACACCAAGGGCTTTCCCATGGAAGTGTCAAGGGCAAGGGCAGACACCTGGGAAGGCGTGGGGAGGCATTTTAGGAGCCTCCCTCCTGGAAAGTGGGGGAGGATCTGATACTTTGAAGGCTCCAGCAAAGCATCCAACAGTGCAGCCCTCATGGAGATACCACAGGATCCTGGGATGGGTTGCAGGGACCTTAAATTCCACCCAGTGCCACCCCTTGCTGGGAGCACTCCTGGGCCTCCTCTGGGCCTGCTCCAGCAGCATGAGGTTGTTTCAGTGCTGAGATTTCCAGAGCTGGAAGCAGCTCTGCAGGGAGGTCTCACAAGGGCAGAGCAGAGGTGGAGAATCAGTTCCCTGCTGGCTCCTGGGTCCCTCCTGTTTTCCTACTGAAGCTGTATCCTACAGGAGCCTCTGGATGGCTTTACCTGCAGCTCCATGTGATGCAGAATTACAAAAACACCAGCTGGGGATCCCAGTTCGTCCCCACCCAGGTGCTCAGCACACCCTGGGGTTGGTGGTCCCTCACTGTCTCCTCTCCTGCAGTTCCAGGTGGATGGCGAGTGGAGGACCTGGATCGACTACGGCCGTTTCCAGGAGCTGGTCAGGGAGCACGAGCGCAGCGGCGGCTCCAGGACCTTCACAGCAGCTGAGTACACAGCCAGGACTCCTCCCTGGGCCCTCTTTGGGGCCAGAGAACGGGGATTCGACCCCTTGGATGTGAGATTCCAGCGGAAGAACAAGGCACGGGACACCTCGGGGTGCTGAGGGCTGGGCTCCTGCACCCTGGGCTTCCCAGGACTCCCATTTCAGGCTGACACTCGTTTTGGATCCACCCACCTGGATTATCCTGATGTTTGGGAAGGGGGTCCAGCCTGGATTTTACCCTTCCCTCCTGTTTTTAGGGCTTCCTGGATGAAAATACTGATAATGTTCTTCTCTTGAGATAAATCAGAACTGGTTCAGCAGCGGGGGTGGGGGGTGGGCAGTGCTGGGATCTCCTCAGTGGGGAATGTTTGGAGTGGGACATGGGGCCAGAGGGTTCCTTGGACTCCTGTGTAAGGAGAGACTGGCAGCAAAACATTCCACATCCCCAAGGAAAAATGCCAGGGGATTTCAGCCCCACAAGGTTGGATCAGGGCCACAGCCAGACCTGGATCCACAAGCTGATCTCTGCTGGGAGCATCATTTTAGGGACTTTGTTCAGGTTCAGGTATTTTACACACTGGTGCCATTTCCTGTAAAAACCCCATTCCCAAGAAGCCAAACGTTGGGAATGGTGTAACAGCACCCCTATGGATAACCACCTGCAGCTTCTGATACCTCTCCAAGTGTCTTCAAACCTCATGGCTTTGGGAATGAGGTTTAGGAGCAGTGTTATCCCACTCCCAGCAGCCCTATACACCAGCTCCCGACCGTCAGAGCCCTGCTGGGCTCCAGCTGGGTGTGCCTGGTGCTGTAGATGGAGCAGCCCTGACATGGGGGTTCCATTGCTTTTTAAAAACAGCCTCTTTTCTTAAGCTGTACAGAGTTTCTAAAGCAGAAGGAAAATAAAGGAGTTTTTCCTAGAGCACCTCTGGTGTGGCTGCTGAGCAGGGTTTGTCAGGGAGGGTGGGAGGTTAATTGGAAGGAGATGAGAAGCACAAATGTTGTAGAGCCCTTTCCTAACAGATGTGGGGTGGAAGGGAGAACATTAGGTGGGTGATGGATAGTGGGTGCCTTTCCTGAATATGTTTTTAAAAAATCACAGAATCCTGGCATGGTTTGGGTTGGAGGGACCTTAAAGCCCATCCTGTTCCACCCCTGCCATGGGCAGGGACACCTTCCACTGTCCCAGGCTGCTCCAAGCTGCATCCAGCCTGGCCTTGGGCACTGCCAGGGATGGGCACTCCACCCCAGGGAGGTGGAGGGAGGGCCCTGGGCAGCCCCTTCCACTGCCTGACCACCTTTCCATGGGGAAATTCCTGCTGCTGTCCACCCCGATCCTCCCCTGGCCCAGCCCAAGGCCGTTCCCTCTCCTCCTGTCCCTGTTCCCTGGAGCACAGCCCGATGCCCCCGGCTGTCCCCTCCTGTCAGGAGTTGTGCAGAGCCACAAGGGCCCCCCTGAGCCTCCTTTTCTCCAGGCTGAGCCCCTTCCCAGCTCCCTCAGCTGCTCCTGGGGCTCCAGACACTTCCCAGCTCCGTTCCCTGCCCTGGACACAGCCTCCAGTTAACCCTGGACCATCAGCTGGAATTTTGGGGCTTGGTGTGTTTGGTGTCCACCTGGACCCAGCACATTCCCCTCGATGGATCCCAGCCCTTCAGCACCTCTCCCTCTTTCCTAAATTCCCTCCATCCCACACCTACCTCCCTGGCAGGACCCTCCCAGTCCATCCCAGTTCTCTGCTGGCCCCTGGGAGCGCTGGCAGCTGCAGGAGCTGCTCTGGGAAAGGAGCCCCAGTGCTGGAGGATCCTGGGGCTGCCACAGGAATCAGCTCGTGGTGTGAGGTGCTCCACAGCACCCTGACAGTGCCTTCCCTTGGAGTCCAGGGGGCTCCAAAGAAAATTGCATTTGCCCTGTCCTTGGTATTGGTGCCATTTCTTCTGCAGCCCCCCAGGACACCCAGTCCCTGCTGTCCCTGTCACACAGGGTCCCACCCCCACAAGGCCAACTGAGAGGACTCACTGGAGCTGAGAGGCCTCTCCTGATCCTCCCTGGGCTCCCTCCATTCCTCTCCCTGGTGCTCCCCGTGTTCCCTCCATCCTTCTTGATCTTCCCTGTGCTCCTTCCATCCATCTCCTGATCTCCCCTGTGTCCTCACACTCCCTCCATCCTTCTGTATCCTCCGTGTGTCTCTGCATTCCCTCCATCCTCTCCCTGCTCCTCCCCATGGCTGCTGGGCAGGGAGGGCACTGCAGGGGACAGTGTGGGTGACATGGGGTCAGTGCCACGGCGTTCCCATGGGAATTGGCACCTGCCATGTCCTAAAATGGGGCTTTCCCCTGCCCTGTGGGACAGCACAGCCCCGAGTGCCAGGCAGGTGGGACTAGGATACCCACCTGGGCCACATCTGGAGCTGCTCCCAGAGCAGCTGGGGCAGGGTTTGCTCCTGCAGTTCCACTGGAGTGCCTGGTGCTCAGGGTGGATCTTCCAGTGCCCAAACCCCTCCAGGCTGTGCTCACACCCAGCGCTTCCAGAGGCACAAGAGAACACAAGGCCCCAGAACAGAACCCTCTGGCTGTTTGGGGACACCTGGAATTGGGGACACCTGGAATTGGGGACGTGGCTGGCACAGCTGGAGCTGTGGGACCCTGCTCTGGGATCCTGCTCCGGCTGTGCCGGGCCCAGAGGCTCTGCCCCTGCTGGGAGCAGGGATTTGCTGCCCTCTGACAGCAGCACCCCCTGCCCCACCTGGAACTGCCCCTGGTGGAGCTAAACTGGGCTGGTACCTGGGCTGGGGGGCTGGGATTGCTCAGGGAGCCTTTCAGGGAATAGGATGCACCCCAGGAAAAAGTGACCTGTGTTCAGGGAGGGTTTCTGTTCTGCCAAGGGCAGTGGAAGGTCCCGGCTGGGAGAACCTCTCCAGTGGCACGGTTCAGGACCAGCCCATGCTCTCGTGCTGCCCTAAGTGTATTTGACTCAATACCTGTAATTCCATCCCCTTTTCCGTAGGCTTTGATCTGGATCACAGCCCATAGTGCTGCTGGGTTCCCCATCCTCCCTCCTGCCCTCAGCACGGCCCCCAAAGAGCTGCCCACAGCCTGGTTTGGGGGGTTTTGCCCAAAGCCAAGGCACAGAGCGTGTCCTGGCTGCCACTTCCTGAAAAGGGGGACCTGGTGCCTCCAAAGCCAACCTGGAGACTCAGGAAGTTCCATCCTGAGGGGCAGAATGGGCAAAAATAATTTTAACCTCTTAAAGCCAGGGAGAATTTGAGGAGCCCTGAGGACTCCTGTGCCAGGTCCAGTTCCCCCTTCCCTGGCACAGCCTGGTGCCCTCCTGGCTGCTCCATGGGCTCTTCCAGCTGTGCTCCCACTGGATCCTGACTCAGGGCTGAGTCACCTGCAATGGGGGCTGTGTTTCAATTTTGCATGAGGATAAATATATTTGTTTCCAAAAAACCTCCAGCAGGAAAACATTCCCCCAAGCAGAGCACTGTCATCCATCAGCTTTGGCTTCATCTGGCTCCGCTCCTAAATCATTTATGATGTTGGAGCTGCTGCTGTGCCCTGAGGGGGAAGGAAGAAGAGATGGGAATTAATTGAAGGAAGGGCATCGTCCTCATTTTGTCACCTGCAAACTGAGGCAGGAGCTGCCAGAGGGAGGGACCCAACCAGCCAGGACATTTCTGCTCCTTCACTGTGAGGAAGGGGAGGCAATAAATCCCAGGGAAATCTTCCTAAGGAAGCCCTGGCCCTGCTGGAGCTGAGCTGTCCCGGGGTGGGTGCTCAGCAGGTGCCCCCTCTCCTGGGCCTCCTCCCTGGCCCAGCCCAGCAGTCACAGCAGGGCCTGGAGGTGGCCGGGCTGCTGGCCCCGGCTCCAGCAGGGACACTGGGAGGAGGGGACCCAGCCAGGCACCAGCCCAGCTCCTGCTGCCAGGCCAGATCTCCACCCCTGAAACCATGGAGGCCAAGGAGAGTGGGGGTGATTCCAGCCCATGGAGTGCAGGGGATTTATGGCTGTCACCACCCAGTGCCCCATCCCTGGTGCCCAAGTCCAGAGGGGGCCCAGATCTGCTCCCAGGGCTGGAGCCAGGCTGGCAGAGCTGGGGGTGCTCACCTGGAGAGGAGAAGCTCCAGGGAGAGCTCAGAGCCCCTTGCAGGGCCTAAAGGGGCTCCAGGAGAGCTGGAGAGGGACTGGGGACACAGCATGGAGGGACAGGACACAGGGAATGGCTCCCACTGCCAGAGGGCAGGGCTGGATGGGATATTGGGAATTAGGAATTGTTCCCTGGGAGGGTGGGCAGGCCCTGGCACAGGGTGCCCAGAGCAGCTGTGGCTGCCCCTGGATCCCTGGCAGTGCCCAAGGCCAGGCTGGATGGGGCTGGGAGCAGCCTGGGACAGTGGAAGGTGTCCCTGTCATGGCAGGGGTGGCACTGGATGGGCTTTGAGGTCCTTCCCACCCAATCCATTCTGGGATTCCTTGCAGCTGAGTTCTGCCTCAAGGATGTATTTCCACCTTCTCCCCGTTCCACTTCAGGACAGGCTCAAAGCCCTCTAGAGCTGCTGGGGTGGTGGATGCCCCACCTGGGCACGGGGACTCAGACCCCCAGGGAGCAGTGACTGGGGGCATCTTCCAAATACAAATCTCTAAACCAAAAAATCCCCATTGCTTCAGGACAGACTGGAGTCAATGAGAAGATTTGCAAGGAATTACTCCAGAAAAAAACCCAACCAAACAAAGAAAAAAAAAAAACCCTAAAAAACCGAAACCAAACCAAACGAAACAAAAAAAAACAAACAAACAAACAAAAAAAAAACCAACCAAACAAACAAACAAACAAAAAAACCCACAAAAACAAACAAAAAGCCAAAGAAACTCTTGAAAACATTCAGAAACCAGCAATTACTTATAAAAAAAAGTGGTGAAATCCTGACAGGAGAAATGCTCTATCCTCTCCATGTCTCTGCTGTTCCCATCACCGGGATTTTTAGGGATGCTGATAACAACATAATCCTCACCTCTGGGGCACCATCTGGGAAATCAAGCACTGCTAAACTCCCTCTCTGTGCCAGGGGCTGGGCTCGGCTCAGCTGTTAAATCATCTCAGTGCTGAACACGTGTTGGTTGGGAAGCAGGGAGAGCATCAAAGGCAGCAATAATCAGCTGTTAAACGAGCAGCCCGGGGTGCCTTTCCCGGGAAAGCTGGAGCCTCCTGTCAAACCATCCTCATCTCCTGAGCCTCACTGGCACCTGGCGATGCCTGCCCGGGCTGGCACTGACCCCCTCTGGAAGGCTGGTCCCACATCTCTAAGGAACAATGGAAATGGGACCTGGCTGGAAAGTCCTGCAGTGGAACGGGTTTGGTGCAGTCCTTGCTGTTGGGGCATCCTGGCCATGGGGATCCTCAGCTCCGGGATGTCCCTGAGGGCTGGAGCGTGTCCAGGGAAGGGAATGGAGCTGGGAAGGGTCTGAAGCCCCAGGAGCAGCTGAGGGAGCTGGGAAGGGGCTCAGCCTGGAGAAAAGGAGGCTCAGGGGGCCCTTGTGGCTCTGCACAACTCCTGACAGGAGGGGACAGCCTGGGGGGAGGAGTTGGGCTCAAACAGCTTCAGATCCTCTTCCCCTGCAGGGCACACCCAGGTGGGACTCAGGGATTGGGGGGCTCCCACCCTCCTCTGGACTGGGAGCAGCTCCTCACACACCTCCATCCCAGCTCCAACCACCACGTGGCTGAGAGCCAGAGCAGTGGAGATGTATTTGTTTGATCCTGGAGGTTTCACTTGGACTTTCTTTTTTTTTTTTTTCTTCTTTCCCAGGCTCAGGCTGGGCAGGTAAAACCCCAGTCCCTCTTTTGTCTTCCTGACTGACCCCCACACCCTCCTGCGAGGCAACAAGGGCTGCTTCTCCCCTGCTCGGCCACCAGCACAGGCTGC